GCTTTTAGGCTTGGCTAAATCTATATGTTATGTTTGTAATCTTTAATCCTAGTTTACCTTTTTTTTAAATCATTGGTTAAAAAAGCATTGACTTTGTAAACTCCCACGCAGTGGTTACTTAGCTCTTGTTTAAGTGCTCCCAAGTAACCGGGAAATTGCGCATTTTGGTAATATGGTATCAAAAAACAATTAATGACAGTTTCACTGAGTGAGTATGGGGAACAATTTCGGTAATCCTTACATGTAGGTTGTAGGAGGTCCCCAAGTGAGCCCCATGCCAATTGAAGTAGCCTTACTCGGATCACTCTGATGCACCCCACTTCATCGAGGATGTTTTCTTTTTCCCTCACAGCAAATCAGCCAAGTACTGTTTAATGATAATCATGTCTGAAGACATTGTTGGTGTTTTGCAGACCACCCAGGGGTCGCTCTTAATCCCTTGAATGCTACAAAAGCGGAAGGAGAAAATACCACTTGGTCTTGTAATGCTACAGGAAATCCAGAACCAACTATATCATGGATTTTCAACGCGTCTCATACGAAGACGAATAACAATCCTAGGATTGTGTTTTCTAGAGACAGACAGAAAATGACGATAACAAGCCTAAGCAGGAAAGACAGCGGAGAATACAAATGTATTGCGATTAATAACCTCGGAAATGCTTCTCAAGTTGCTTCACTAGATGTGACATGTAAGTAAGATGTGATGGTGAGGGAGATAGAGAAAAGATGTATCTTGAGACTTTAAGAAGGAATGAAAATGTCTTAAGAGAAGTGATAAACAATTAGCCCAGGACCGGGATGCCTGGGCAGCTCTTGTAGAGGGCATATGCTCCAACGGGGGCCAAAGGCAATGATGGTGATGATGAAATACCTTGTAAGATTTCCTTATTAAAAGTAAGGAGATTGAAAATTATTTGCGACCGAAACTAATGATTTGAACCAGTAAGTGTCAAGAGTCATTAATTTTTACTTTCTACACAAAAGTAGACTAATAATGATTAGGTTTTCATCGCTGGCGCCCACAATACGAAAAATAAACCGGAGCAATTATGCCAGCACACCTGTTCTACGAAGGTAATGGTGTTGTTTGCTCTCCACATAACACCTTAAACTTGCGGATTTTTTCCTGTTACAGACATACCAGAGATCACTGTTCACCCGAAAAATGTAACTAAAAAAGAAGGAGA